AACCCCAAACCCCCAAAAACCTGTCCAGGAAAGTCAGGGACCCCAAAAAAACCCAAACCCCCCCAAAACCCCGCACAGGAAAGTCAGGGACCCCAAAAAACCTCAAAAACCCTCCCAGAAAAGTCGGGGATCCCAAAAATATCCCCGGGGGGGGGTCAGAGACCCCAAAAAAATCCCAAAATCCACAAAAATCTGTCCAGGAAAGTCAGAGGCTCCAAAAACCCCTCCCAGGAAAGTCAGCGACCCCAAAAAAACCCCCCAAAAATCCCTCAGGAAAGTCAGGGACACCAAAAAAACCCCAAAAATCCCTCAGGAAAGTCAGGGACCCCCAAAAAAACCCCAAAAATCCCTCAGGAAAGTCAGGGACACCAAAAAACCCAAAAACTTTCCCCAGGAAAGTCAGAGACACCAAAAAATCCAAAAATCCCCCCAAAACCCTGCCCAGGAAAGTCGGGGATCCCAAAAACATCCCCGGGGGGGTCAGAGACTCCAAAAAAAACCCCCAAAATCCCAAAAATCTGTCCAGGGAAGTCAGGGACACAAAAAAAACCCCAAAAACCCTCCCAGGAAAATCAGGGACACCAAAAAACCCAAAAACCTGTCCAGGAAAGTCAGGGACCCCAAAAACCCCAAAAGACCCAAAAACTTTTCCTGGAAAGTCAGAGACCCCAAAAAACCCAAAAACGCCGCCCAGGAAAATCAGGGACCCCAAAAAACCCCCGAAACCCCAAAACCCTGCCCAGGGAAGTCAGAGACCCCAAAAAAAACCACGGGAGGATTTGGGGGGTCCTGGGAGTTTTGGGGTGACTCCCCTGAGGATTTTTGGGGTCACCCCCAGAGGATTTTTGGGGTGACCCCCGAGGATTTTTGGGATGATCCCTAAGGATTTTTAGGGTGAACTCTTCAGGATTTTAGGGTGACCCCCCGAGGATTTTTGGGGTGACCCCATGAGGATTTTTGGGATGATCCCCGAGGATTTTTAGGGTGACCTCTTCAGGATTTTGGGGTCACCCCTTGAGGATTTTGGGGTGACTCCCCGAGGATTTTTGAGTTGAACCCTAAAGATTTTGAGGGTAACCCCATGAGAATTTTGGGGTAACCCGCTGAGGATTTTTGGGGTGACCCCCCGAGGATTTTTGGGTGACCCCCGAGGATTTTTGGGGTGCTGTTCTCACCACCAGCCCCTTGAACGCTTTTTTCTCGGTGACCCAGTAGAGCCCCTCGCTGGCCGCCACCTTGATGTGCTTCACCTGCCCGCGGTACCTGCGAGCAGAACCGCCCCAAAATCATCCCAAAATCACCCCAAAATTACCCCAAAATCACCCCCAAATCCCCGCAAAATCACCCCCAAATCACCCCAAAATCACCCCAAAATCCCCCCAAAAATCACCCCAAAATCACCCCAAAATCCCCCCAAAATCACCCCCAAATCCCCCCAAAATCACCCCAAAATCCCCCCAAAATCACCCCCAAATCCCCCCAAAATCCCCCCAAAATCGCCCCCAA